CGCTCTATCTCTGATATTGAGCACTTTAGCCCATAAATATAGCACAGCTTTAAACTATATTTCTTCATATATATATATATATATATATATATATATATATATATATATATATATATGTGTGTGTGTGTGTGTGCGTGCTGAGACATGCTACATTGAATAATTTAGACAAGTTTTGTTTACTTATGTTCACTTGGATCCTTTCATATTCACGAACAAGCTTTTTGGTGTCATTATTAAAGGAAGTGAGAAAAATCGGCCTGTTGATATATATCAACATATAGCCTACTTTCAAATATTTTTATCACGCACCACGCACACACACACACACACACACACACACACACACACACATACATATATATATATATATATATATATATATATATATATATATATATATATACCCAGGTAAGATGAGAAATTAATTTAAAGAGGGCTCACTACAGAGTAGGGCAATACTATTTATTTTAGGATACTAAAACAACATGTAAAATTTCTACATATTTGCAGTTGTGTTTCGATGCATATTAATGCGTCTCCTATGGTGATTATAAATTACTGGCGAGTAAAAGATTAATTTGGCTTCAAAAGCAAAATACATCCACTTCTTTCGAAAAAAAAAAAAAAACAGGCTACACGGCTTTAGGTCTTTACCCTGATCAACCAATCGCATATCACCTACGTTCGATTCAAACTAAACGAAAAAAATAGAAAAAAAATAAAAGTTTCTTAGAAATGGATTATAACTCATGTTAAATATTTTATACACACTTCAAGATAGAGTCTCATGTAGTAAAATATATTTTACCTAATAATATATATAACTATATTTTACCCATAATAATAGCTTCTAGGATTCAGTGTTTACCTTGATAAAATATCGTTTCCAAAAACGTTCAAAATCAGTCTAATTTTCGTACCTTAAGATCGAGTTATTGCGAAACCTGTTGTAAGAAAAAACGCAAATAGACCGGGAAATTTTAACGTTTTTCAGCTCAATTTAGGTTCTATGGATATGTTTTTGTGATTAATAACTTGATCATTAATACGAGTAAACGTTATTTTGTCGACCGTCGTATATTCTATAAATGCTGTTGAAGAAAATGAATTGGTGACAGCAATTCTGACCGGGTTATGTTACGATAAGCCGTCGAGATTTTTAGTAATTAAGTGCCAAGTTTTCTTGAAAAACTTTTTATTAAGAACTGACCCAACTTTTCTTTTTCTTTTCTCGGCTCCAGTCCACACAAGGGTGAAGAAAAATTAAACAGGTCTTATTCGACCGTCTTTCCTTTTTTTCCATCTCCTCCAAGAGTGGCACCAATAAACGACAGAGACAACTTTAATAGTTTTTGTGTTCCAGACATAGCCACCAAAAGCGCATCAATCTTCCTGGATGTGATTGGACATCTTATACGTACCCTCTTTTTTTCTCAAGTTCTTTTTCTCTCTTCCAAAAAAGAAAAAGAAAGAAAGAAGAAAATCTGATAGAAATTAAAGTTTGGGAGCGTTGCCATCTTCACTTTTGATTATTTGCAAGCAAAGAGACCAAGTTCTTGAGATTTAAAAAAAAGAAAATATGACTAAAACCATCTAACTTCATAATTCAAGATAGAATTTATAATCAGATGCACCGGTGTCGCGTTAAAATCGAACACATCGCTAAGGATTCGGACAGACTCACAAATGTAATTTCTACCCAGGTAAAGAAGCAGATAGAAATTATCTAGTCAGCCAAACCTACACACCGATCTAATTGTTGAATACGTTTGACGGTTCAATCGACGTTCTATCCGACAATAATGCTCAACATATGTCTTTAATTGACGTCAAGATCTTTATATTTTGGGGGCTTGTGAGAAAGAGAGGAAAAGCCAAAATAAAAAGGGGAAAAAGAAAAGCAAATATGTTTAAGAAGGCAATTAAATACGAACGGATGTTTGTAGAATCAGCATTAGTAAGCGATCGTGGGGAAATAAGAGGTGAGTTCTTACAGTTAAATTGATTGGCAATTATGAGCTGTTGTATCTCAGTAGGGATATTATTATTATTATTAGAAATAAATAAAAATAAAATAGAAAATAATAATAATGAAAACTATAAATACAATAAAACAATAACATAAAAACGTTGGACAAAATACATTAAATAAAAATTTAAAATAAAAAAAATGCTCCCATCATGCAACAAAAAACTGTTTCTGCCGGAAATACGAACATCCCCTAAAAGACGTTAAATTCAAACTCTTCACCACGAACCTTTGTACGGGCGACACGTGTCCAATTTCTCTCTGTGATATGGCTTGTAATACTACGGAGTAAATTCTCTCTTTTACATATATCATAAAACAATTGTAAACTAAAAAGTACACACGCCAATAGACACAAAAATATAAAATAAATTGTATGAAATTAACATACAATACTTTTCCTGTTATTGGTGTATGTTTTATTTCGTGTCAAGTATGCTTTTATCTCTGTAAACACAAGATTAATTTCTGTTGCTATGATGTAAGTGAATCCACCGCAACTCAAACAGTTCACTTCTGTCGTACATATCCAGACCCCACAAGATAAAAACCGAAGAAAAACAAGCGTCAACAGTCGGAAATATTCAATTTACTTACAATAGGCTCGCTTACCGCCCGTTTCACACTCCCCGCTGTTCTTTTGGGTGATTATTCCTTGTTTCCTCTTTAGGATTGGATTTCCTTCTAAAGTCTTTTCATTCGCATTCACTCTCAGTAACACCTTACATCTTAGTAGCATTATCGCCTTGATTAAAAAATATTTTCGCATTTTATTAACGACCGTAGAATTACGATCAGAGTGCTTGCGTTGAAAAGCAACCTAAATTAAGATGAAACACATACGTATCAAAATTTAATAATGATTCAGATATTAGAAATTCAAAGTAATATTATAGCTCCTGAAAATCTTAGTTGACTGGAAAGCAAGAAGCCAGAAGAGAGTTCCACAGGCGAAAAGTGTGAGAGAAGAAACTGTTAGTATATAAGTCATGGTTATATTAAGTAATTTCAACGGTCGAAATATGAGACCTAACTGCGAATCTAGTACTGAACTTTCCTCTTTGTTACCTCGACTGCATGAATTTAAGCTGAAGGTGGAATCGGCGTGCCGAGATATGAACCCATTCTCCATCCATCATGGATTTGACAGGGTTCTTTAGCCTTGGTTGGCAACCAATCTAGGAGATGGACAACTTTGAATGTGCTTTATTACAGAAAACCAATGCAACAGTACTGGTATTACAAAACAGATAACTATTGGTCTAGATCGGGTTCCATTGGACAGGTTCTCCCGACGCCTAACATTTTTTTTAAATCACGTGTCTCATCGTTAGGCAAAGATAAAACGACATCGGAAGCCATGGTTTCTACACAAATCGATCTTTATTTTTATATTTAAAAAAAAAATTTAAATATTTTCGTCATCAAGATCATTTCTATTAATTTATTCGTAAATATATTACGCGGGGAAAGAATAGTTTCCTTCATGGATCAGCGCCTCACATATTGATTTCAGAAAATCTATTAAAGTTTTCCTGCATTGGATGACAGGGCAATATCGCCTTTGGAATTTTAAAAGTGCGTGCTCGACATGTTATATTAATTTTGACAAGAATTTGTCGTTTATTTTTATTAAATTTCATGCTTCATTAGGACGTGTGTGATTTTGAATTTCTACAGATTTCTTTTCCTTTGTTTCATCTGCGAATTTTCAGGACATTTTGGCAAAGATAATGGAATGGTTTTCCGTTGTCTTTATGATTTAAAATTCTGAATAGTCGTCTTAGCTTGGTCACCGCTTGTTATAGTGAAACACACCTATTCTATTGTTAATAGACTCTTCCACCTATAATAAGTCGGAGTAGTAGCAGTCGCTCAGGGAGTGTGTCGCTTAGTGAGTTGGTCAGTCAGTCGATGTCGGACATTAAAGTATCAGCCACCACAACTAGATTGCTGCGTCATTACCACTTATATCAAGTCCCTAACGTTTTGTACGTCGAACCTTTTTAGGACCGACTTAGTGAAATACAAGCCTCCACCGTGAAACTACTCTATAACACCGCTCAAGACAAGCGAGCATTAACTGATTGATTCATTGATTTTTTATGGTTTATCAACCCTTTGCAAATTAGTTTAATCTGGAAAATATTTTTAGATTGTTAATTTTTTTAGATAATTATGGTTTAATAGTACAAGCCTTAGTAGTTAACCTATAGCTGGGGGAGAAGAGGTGGATTCATAACTTTTCCAAGGGTATTTGAGTATAAGTGAATATAAAGAAGCAGACTGGAATTCGAACTCGGCTCTCCAATTTACATCATCCTCACATACAATCTTACAGCGCCTGGTATTCCCAAGTGGTCACCCATCTAGGTACTGACAATATTCGACATTGCTTCACTTCAAACTGATGTTTTAACGGGATATGGCCGCAAAGCACATAATGATTTGAAGCAATGTTTTCCAAAACCGATACTCCGAGTCGTGATACCAGCGAGGAAAAAATGTATATTTATTAATATATACCGTTATATTACCATCGAAAATTGGGTACCTCGATGTGATGTAATGGTTAGAAAGCTTGTCTTGCTAGATCAATTACGACTGAGTAGTGAGTTCGATCCTCACTGGGTGTGCCATACTTTCGGCGTTGTGACACATCTAAGCTATGCTTAGAAAATCATTATTACCATCGCGCACGACTTCATTAACTCCAGCACTCACTGTACGATATCTATCTATCTATCTTTGACATCCAACACTTTGACATCAGACACTCACTGAGTGTTTTTATCGAGCCACCATCACAAGGAATGTTGCCGTTCAAAGCGTGAGACCCCATCTTAGCTTCGTACCTTTCCCAACGATATTTGCTTGTAAGTGAATATAACGAACCCAACGGGAATTAGAACTCGGCTCTCCGATTAAAAATTCCGGGCCATTATCCATTACAACACTTACACAGGCAAGCTTTCAGCGTCTGCAATTCCCAAGCGGTTACCTCTCTAGGTACTGACCAGGCTCGATGTTGCTTAACTTCGGAGAATCGTCCGGGAACCGGTGTGTCTACCTGTTATAGCCGTAAGCCAGGCAGTAGAGTACAGATTATTATTGCTATCTAAACTATAGCTGGTTGGTTGAGAAGAGATCAAGTCATTCGTTTTTAACCAAGCTACGCAAAATAGCTGTTCTCTCTTTAGACGGCATCAGTATGCAATATTTTTCACTGAATTCTTTCAAGAAGATCTCTTTTTGAATGTATTCTGAGAGCTGTCATATCAGATGGCATGTTTTATTAATTAATCAAAATTCCTAACTTTTTTTTTGGTTTGTTTATTCGCGCATTGCAAATGGAAGCCATTATCAGCAGATGCTTTCATTGTACAGAAAGGTGCAACCAATAACCAATTTTGCAGTTTCGTGCTAACTTTCTCGCTTGAGATTACCTGTCGAACGATGCTCCACAGTCGGCTCCACTGGTTGAGGTAAATACTGAGCAAATCATGACATTGCTTGCGTTGAAAGACTCGTAGGTTTCGTAACAATATATTCAATATAGTGAAACCAAAGACGGAAAATCACTGACAGCCATTGTCGCATCAGTTAAGCGACAAACTGCTGAGACATATTTACATTTTGTGTGTCACGATAGATCAATTAAGATTGAACAGTGAGTTCGATGCTCACTGGGTGCTACTTATTATAAGACTTGTGCCACATCTAAGCCACGCTTAGTTAATCGCTATTTAAATTTCGTTAAAAAAAACTAAAAAAAAATAAAAATAAAAATAAACTTGCCCCGCCAGGTCATAACAGAGCGCTCAGTACACGCGCCTTGTGCCACATTTAAGCTACGCTTAGTAAATCGCTATTTAAATTTCGTTGAAAAAACCTCGCTAGATTAGTTACGACTGAATATTGAGTTCGATCATAACATGGCGCTCAAAATACGCGACCTTGTGCCTCCTTTATGCTATGCTTAGTAAATCGCTATTTAAATTTCGTTAAAAAAAACTAAAAAAAAAAACAAAAATACAAACTTGCTCCGCCAGGTCATAACAGAGCGCTCAGTGCACGCGCCTTGTGCCACATTTAAGCTACGCTTAGTAAATCGCTATTTAAATTTCGTTGAAAAAACCTCGCTAGATTAGTTACGCCTGAATATTGAGTTCGATCATAACAGGGCACTCAAAATACGCGACCATGTGCCTCCTCTATGCTATGCTTAGTGAATCGCTATTTAAATTTTATTGAAAAAACCTCGGTAGATCAGCTACGACTGAATATTGAGTTCGATCATAAAAGGGCGCTCAATACACTTGCCTTGTGGCACATTTAAGCTACGCTTAGTAAATCGCTATTTATATTTCGTCTGTCTCGCTACGGATAGGTAGTGAGGCCGATACTCACCTCGTGCTCCATACTCGCGGCCTTGTGCCACATCGGATCTGTGCTTAGTAAATCGCTATTTATAAAACGTGTATCTCGTTAGATCAGTTACAACAGAGTAATAGGTTGATACTCTTTATCTACTCCTTACACGCGGCCTTGTGCCATATCGAAGCTACGTTTAGCAATTCGCTATTTACAATTCGTCGTCACTTGGATATAGTGAATGGCTAGCAAGCTGTCCACGCAAAATCAATTAGGACTGAGCAGTGAGTTCAGTTTTCACTGGGTGCTCTATATTCTCGGCCTTGTGCCACATCTAATTTACGCTTTGTAAATCGCTATTTATATTTCGTGTGTCTCGCTTGATCAATTGCAACTGAGTAGTGAGTTGAAAAGTTTTTGGGTGCTCCATACTTTCAGCCTTGTGCCACATTTTAGCTAGGCTAATAAATACCTATTTAAATTTCATTGAGCGATGAAGTGCAAAGATTAGCAAGCTAGACTTTCTAGATCAGTTACGATTGGGTTGTGAGTTCTATTATTACTGAGCGCTGGAGGCTAATGGCCTTGTGCCACACCTAAGCTACTGTTAGCAAGTTTCTATATTTAGATTTCACTGTTTAGATAAATTGAGGTGGTTTGTAGAAATTTAGTATTTACGGTTGATATTACATCACTCTCAACTCTATTTATAACTTCTTTTTTGTTCTTTCTTAATACTTAATCTAACCTATTGATTGTAGCCTTTTTCTATTCCTGTACAGCTTCGGATTAGAGTTTCTATAATTTTCTCTAACTCAAGCCGCGTTCATCAGTTCCGTTGGAGGACCAATCAACTGATTCGGAAAAATAATTAAGGTTTCCAATAAAAAAATAAAAATATGACGAATAAATTGAATGAATAACGTCCGGTAATAATTAATGTAAGAAAAAAAAAAGAAGTATTCTATAAAAATAACCTCAAACTCTTGACCGGATGAAAAATGGACAGGTATAATCGTCACATTTTAATTTCAGAAAAAAAAGTGTATTTAAGCGCATAATGCTCAAAGCAAGCTATCAGTATATTACAAAAAGCACTTTACTATAGCGGAAAAAACACTGTATATAAAAAGCAAGCTATCAGTACATTGCAAAAAGCACTTTAGCTATAGCAGAAACATCACTTTATATAAAAAACAAGCTATCAGTACATTACAAAAAGCACTTTAGCTATAGCAGAAACATCACTTTATATAAAAAACAAGCTATCAGTACATTACAAAAAGCACTTTAGCTATAGCTTTATATAAAAAAAAAACATCACTTTTATAACACTGTATAAAAAACAAGCTATCAGTACATTACAAAAAGCACTTTAGCTATAGCGGAAAAAACACTGTATATAAAAAGCAAGCTATCAGTACATTGCAAAAAGCACTTTAGCTATAGCAGAAACATCACTTTATATAAAAAACAAGCTATCAGTACATTACAAAAAGCACTTTAGCTATAGCGGAAAAAACACTGTATATAAAAAGCAAGCTATCAGTACATTACAAAAAGCACTTTCGCTAAAACAGAGAACATTAATGTATTTAAAAAGCAAGCCAGCAGAAAGTGAAACAGTGAGACTGTTCTAGATTATGACAGCAATAAACTATTACAAGAGATAATAGCAGAAAACATTTGATAAAAAAAAACAAGTTTAACAATTTTGTTGAAAATAAAAGCAAATCACTGTTTTATCCTTACCATTATTTTATCTCAGTAAAAGATCTTTAATTTTAACCGTATTTGAAAAGTTTTGTTGCCTTCCATCATCATGGCTGATGCTGATCTCCATGAGAGCAACTCGTTATATCTTTTCGGTTTTCCATTGATATGAATTGAAGCGATGTTGCTGAATCAGTTGCTGCTACGAATGATAGTTAACTGTGATGTCTAGACATTTTTTTCTCTTTAGAATCTTTCTTGCACATTTATAAGTCGACCATTCGCACATGCATTGAACATTACTGTCGCATCTGTTCTGGTCATTCTTCTATGTTTCTATAGATTCTTAATGAACTCCAAAGAACAGTCTGAAATGTTATCGGTCTTGGCATGGCATCTCGATTTCAGTCACTTTCCGTTACGTAGTTGATGTAACCTTAAGTTCCATGCAAACAGTGCCTTCTTTTGCCCTTCTTGCTTGACCTAAAGTACCAAATGCCTCTTCATAGCCAGTTCTTTTTTGAAACAAAAATGCTGTTGTAAATCAAGTGGGTAAGAAATTCGGGAATTCAGAATGAGCGGTTTATTCTTGCTGCACAGGACCAGAGCCTGTTTATACGTAAATACCAAGCTAATATATTGCTTACTCGTACCAACTCAAAATGTATTTTCCGTGACCAATACATTGAGACTATTGCCTATCTCAGAATGCCCAATACTCCAACTCAGTGACTACAAAAACATCATGAGAGGGTAGGTTAATATCTTCACTGGAAGATCTCTCATCACTATGGGTTAAAAAACAGCTGTAAACAGGTATGAACATAAGCTTGAATCTGTAGCTGTCGTAGAAGGAGCAGATGTTAACATCTTCTGGGGTTTTTCTATCAATAAAATCCGAACGCAATAAGCAAATCACGCAGACATTATTATCAAAGACGAAAAGAAAAATGTTTGCACTGATTGACATCAGCGTGCCAAGTGAGAAGCACATCTCTGCGAATGTTTTGGAAAAAAAACTAAGCATTTGCAAAGACCTAGAGATGAAAATAGGAAAATTGTGGCACACAAAATCTAAAACTATTCCCGTTGTGGTTGGGGCTTTGCGTCTGATAAAGAAAGAAACTTAAGATGAAATCGACAAAACTCCTGATGCATGGTCTCTCCAGGAAGTATGAAAACGAGTTCCAACAAGCTCAGCTCATATCATGTGAAGAGCTTTGTCCAATTAAGTTTTTGCTGTTAATAAGCGCCATTTGTTTAAATTGAAACGACCAAAAAAGATCCGCCTAGTCGAGGTCATTGATTATGACCCTAGATGTAATTATAAACTAAATGCAGGTTTAAAAAAAAGGTTTTAAATTTTAATAATATTCTTTCAGATAATATTCTTACGGAGTCAACCTTGTTAGAACCGACTGCCTTATACTCTATAGCAGTGCTTCTCAACTTCTGTTCCCCAGAGCCGAGGTATTATGTGGGGGGTAGTAAGAATAGTAAGAATGTGGAATTTTGGTGCAAGGAATATAGTATAGTTCATATGGGTCAGTGATTGTGATTAGCTAAGTTTAAAATAAGACAGATGATGACCATCCTTCCATATCCCATTTCTGGCCTTGGGCCACATTTTTACAAGAATACATATTGTTACCCAAACAAGCTATACATATGGAGACTAGTTAGGACTTCAAAGAGGATCTGGGGTACTATAGTGGCTGTAGTATGATTAGTAAGAATGTGTTGATTTGGTGCAAGGATTTTTGTGGTATGTTTGGGTCAGTGATTGTGGCTAGCTAAGATTAATTATTAATGAGATGAAGAAAACCCTCCTCATCCCCCATTTTTGGCCGTGTGCCACATTTGTACAGATTCTTACACTAAATATCGTTCCCCAGAGCCCTAGGGTTCCGCATGAGTCCGCTAGGGGTTTCGCGAGAAACAGTGATAGGATAATACAGTATTGAGTAATTTTTATTTAATTTTATATTCGTAATTTTA